AGGGCTGGGCATCGGCTCTCTCTAGAGATCAAGGCTTGGGATGCCAGGTGCCCCCACCTTGGCCTGAGTCCCAGCTTCCCTCTGGGCCAGCAGTGGGGACAGGGGACTGCTGAGGCACCCCAAGGAAGAAAGCAGTTACCACTGGTAAGGAGACCCCTCCAGACCTGCCTGGCAACATGGGCCATGCTGGCGCTCTGCACCCCAAGCCCGTCTGTGGCTTTGTCTGTCTCAGGGGCTGCAGCTTCCCTGGGGAAAGCTTTGTCTCACGGAGCAGGCTCCCAGCGCCCCCTGCTGGCCGCCATGGGCACAGCCCCTGCAGAGCCAACAACAAAAGCAGGACTTTCCTTTGGGGGTTGATGAAAACCACCACCCAACAAAGGCAGGGCGAAGCAGTGAGTACCTGAGACAGGAGGAGGAACGGACGGGTGGCGATTCCTGTGTCTAAAAGCAAACGTGACTGTACGACAGGGCAGAGCACCCACTGACCCCAGGGCAGCGGGCTTTGTCTCCTTCCTGGTCAGTGGCACCACCGAGGTGAAATGCAGGGCCAGGCAAACTACTGCCTCCGCGGGACAGTGTCCGCTGGGCAGGCCTGTTTGGACCGGGCAGTTCTCACAGAAGCTTTAGAGAAAGCAGATGCACACCCAGCCTAAGGACAACACCATGCATTCCGCTCGGTGGACCACGATCAACCAGTGCGGGGAGACCGAGAACACCGCACGCCACCTCCCCCTCACCCCCTGCTCAGCTGGGCCCAGCCCCACAGGCTGCAGAGGGCAGATGGAAAGGGCTTTTGGAGGGGGGCTCTAAAGCAGCAGGTGGGAAGGTAGAGGAGACTCGGGTGCAGACTCCTCGTGTCTAACTCATCCACGGGGACTCTAGCAGGACCTTCCCTCCCTCCTCAGACACAGGGAGGCAGGAGCCCAAGCCAGGGGCAGCCTGCACTTCCCCACGCGACATTACACTGTGGTCCCACCAGGAGCCCAAAGAGCTTCCTTCCTCCTGTCGCACGGGCCTTTTCTTCACTCTGGGCTTGGTGCCGGGTGGCTCCTGACACCCTGGGAAAATGAAGTGGTGACTGGCACAGGGGTGGGGGCCTCCTGCCCTGGGGGTGTTCAGACTACAGACAGGCCTGCTGGCGCTGGGCAGTGGAACCTGAGACAGCCTGAGGGTCTACCTTTTCCCTTCAAATGGCTCTCCACAAGCAGCAATGGAGATGGTGGTCAGGCCCCAGAGTGTTGATCCCAATGCTGGCACCTGGGCTCAACTCCAAGCGGGAGCCATTCTTTGGGGGCACAGCACAGCTGTCACTGGGGGGCATCTGGACAGCGGGACCCGGGGCTGCTGACTCAAAGGCTGTAGGTCAAACTCACCCAGTGGCCCTGAGGGACAGCGGCTGGACAAGAGGACCCTAAGAGGCAGTTCTGTCACCACACAGTCACTGAGTGTCACCGAGACGCAGCCCAAGGGCTCCATGAACAGCCACTGCCGCCTCTGCCAGAGGAGACCACCAGGTCAGCCCCCTAAGGAACTGGGAGGTGGCCGGGTTCTGGCACAGCAAAGGCCAGTTTAGAAAAGTCTCTGGCGATCAGAATGGGCAGCAAAGGCATTTGGAAGGACCGAGGTGCCTGGGAACTGGCTGCCAGCCCTCCCTGGCTCGGACTCAGGGCGAGCAGCACAGCTGGCTGGACTTGCCTCTGTCGAGGGCTGTGGGCAGCAGCCTCTGAGACACAGGGTGACCCATCACAGGCAGCCCGAAGGTGACCTCTCGAAGACCACTGCTTTGCTGGCCTCTGGCTCACCTTCTGCCCGGCGCACGCACCCACCTGAAGAGCTCTCGGATCTCCCGGCTGTTGGCCTGGAAGGGGATGTTCCGCACCAGGATCTTGGAAGTCGTCTGCTTTCTCGACACTTGCTTCTTTCGCGTGGACGTCGTGGCTGGCCTGCAGGGGAGAGGGTGCCGGTTATGGGGGGTGGTGGTGGCTGCTCCTGCCCTACCCTGACTGTACCCTTTTCCTCCCCAGAACCCTGGCTTCCGTCTTAGGTCCATAGAAGACTCCTGGCTTTGTCCCCAGGGGGCTGGGGATGAACTCGGAGGAAAGGATTCATCCCCTGGGTGACACGAGTCATAAACTTCTTGGGCCCAAAAGAGCTGCGAGGGCTCCACAGACATACCCACACTCGCTTGGGCGGTTTTCTGACAGAGCCCCTGATGCCAGGAGCCCCTAAACTCTGGGGCACGTTCCGTGGGCTTAGTGACAAGGGAGGCCAGCAGCTGCAGATGGGGCCAGGCAGGCCCAGCATTCACACCTCCGCCCCCTCCCAATGCTGCTCCAGAACATGGGCCACACCCACCCAGCCCGGCCTTGATGGGTTCTGGCTGAACCCATGTCTGCAGGCAGCAAGGGATCTTGAGGCTGACAGCAAGGGCTCTTGAGGCTGACTGCGGAAGTACGCCCCAGAGGCGTACAGAGAAGGGAGCTTCCCACTGGCCGAGAGCACAGGGTGCCGGCACAGCACACGCAACCCAAGTGGGTGTGTTTGACCCCATGGGCGAGGGCAGTGCCCCGCCCACACTTGTCAGCAGCCTGCGCTGGAATGTCCACGAGCCACAGCCTGTGATGGCTGACGCCACCAGGGAGGGCCTGTGCCAGCCGCCCGCCACGTTAGAGAGGACATTCGAGGTGGCTGCTGCTCTGGGT